TGGTTATTCTAAGCCATTAGCAAAGGTCCTGACAAATGTGTTGTGGGATTCTGGCATGTTTATCTGAACAGGAAGGTAAAGCCCAGTGCAGCCTCTTCCACTGGCCTCCAGAGTGACTGGGTGAAGAGGAAAAGGATGAGGGAAGCCGCATACGGACTATAAAAATGTGTGTGCATGAACATCTCTTCCTCTGGCTGCCCTTTCCTCAGCTGGCCTTGGGGAAGCTGATGAGCCCTTTGAGTTCCTTGGCCTATCTCAGATACTGAGCTGAAATCCTAATGAGCACGTGTTCCCAGATGTGCCTGGAGAGCCACAGGTTTCTTCTGCTTTCTCTAAGTATGATTAAAGTCAGTGGGGGAGAGACATGGGCTATCTGCAGGCACCCAAAATGTGTGGCACCTGACCTTCTCCAGCAGGCAACAAGGAGCAGTGTGCAAGTGCCGTGGTTGTGAAGCAGCACTGGGTTTGGGTAAGAAAATACAGACTCCACAGGATCTCATTGGCTTTGCAGCAGAGGATGCTTTGCCCCCAGACAGTATGTGCAAGGAAAAGTGTGGGGCAGAGGGGAGGGAGCCCTTGCTGCTTGCTCTGGTGGGGATGAGCCTTGGGGCTACAAGAACCTAAACCCCATGTATTCCCCCACCCCCTGCACCAGGGCAGCAGGAAGTTCAGGGTGTGAAAATGAGCTCAAGGCTGCAGGTGGAGTGTGGCTTTCTCCATTGCTGGTTTTTGCCTCTGTGCATTCAGAATGGCAGAGATACAGGTTGTCTCCAGTGTGGTCACTACTCGTTCTTCTGGTTTTGGTGTTTTTTTCCCTCTCCTGTAAGAGCCTCTTTGCACCTGTTTTTTTTTTTCCTTTCACTCTCCACTTTTTTTTTTTTGTCTCTTGGATTTTCTCTTCTCTCCCATGTTCCCATTTCTTTCTGCTGTTTCAGCTGCTGTCCAAGCGATGAGTACAGATTCCCCTGGTTGTTGTACCCCACAGTTCCTAGAACTATATTTGTTTATATTTGTTCTTGGAATGGATGTGGTAAAAATAGCCTGAAGGCCATGGAAATAGTGAGGGAGGGGAGTATAATGCATTGTGCATTGCTTTCATGGATTGCCAAAAGGTGGAAACCCTGTTGATTGGAATTGACTTTTCCCATGTCTCAAAGTTAGCCTGCAGCTCACATAGTTGATCTGGAGGCCTGGGAAAGGATGTACCTCATTGAGTAGATTTGCCACTTTTTAGGAAGAAAAGAAAATCTGGAAGGAGAAGAAGGGGGATGTAAAAGAAGAAGACAAAAGTGGGTGGTGGGAGGAAGAAGAAATATTAACGAAGTGAAATTAAAAACCCAACAGCCACAGAAACCAAAACACAGGAGCTGTCAGAGAAAAAGCTGCATGCAATTTAGTGTCCTGAGTTGGGATGTAACTGTAGTGTATGTGGAACAGGGGAGCATAAACTTCTCTAATTGCGCCACAAGGTCTCTCACTGATCTTAAAAAATCCACTGTTTATTTAATCTCTAAATCTGAGCTCCTATAGTCTTTCCTCTTAATGAGGTATGTTGTAACAGTGTGAGCCCTATGAACATGTGGCATTTCTGGGGCTGCTGTGAGGCTTCTGCACTCCAGCATGGAAGAGCAATGTTTTTTGCCCAGGGCAGCCAAACCTGCAGGATGCAGCTAGAAGGTGCATGAAAGAAGCGAGTGGAGAAGAATAATGAAGAACCCTGCCATCTTCTGCTGTGAACCAAGCTTTGCCATGAAGATCTGTGCCATCTATTTAGAGTTACTACTGCCTGGATCCTTGTGGTAGCTGCTGCCGTGGGGCCACCAGTTAGCAGGAGTACAGTAAGCGCCAAGTGAAGAGCTCTGTCCCTTCTCCTGGCATGAAGAGCTGAAGAAAAAGCTAGTGTAGGCAGTCTTCTGCTCCTGGAATGGTGTGATGCTGGCTGGTTTGCACCCCTGCTCCTTAGGACTATAGAGTCTATAGCAGGTTTGTCTGGGAGACAAATATTTGCCACAGTATGAAGCTTCATCAAGCAGCAAGATAACAGGCAGGGTGAATGACCACTGCCCAAGTTTGTTCACAGGCCCTCTTTCATTTAGCAAGAGGCAGGTATCTAGAGGGCATCATAAACTTAGGTCATGGTTTTCTGCGTAACTTTATCATGGAAAAGGTGCTGTTATGTAGGATGGTGCCCTCAGGTGTCTGCAAACAGGCTGGTGTCGTTGCCTCACTGCTTACGGTGTCTCAAACAAGGACTTTGAGGTTTTCAAGTGTTGGCTGAAGCACTGGCAAAGGTTATCCGAGGTGTTGCAATAAGGTTGACTTTCCAGGATTCAGTTAGTGCAGCCATTGAGCCAAATGTCCCATGCTGTCACCCACACATGTATAAATGCTAGTCTAGTGCCATGGGTGTATAGGGAATGTGTGTGCCTTCCCCTCTAGACTACATAGCTTTCATTCTGTGTCTGAAATAGCTGTGACATTTGGGCTTCTAAACAGAGCTCCAACTGAAGATGCTCATGATTGTAACTTAGTTGTACTTTTATATCTCTTTCTGCTCTGCTCACCTTTCATCACCGCTTCTGCCTCCGCTCTTTCGCTGGCTTGCTGCCTTCTCACTCTTCCCCCGCCCTCTTTTTGTTCTCTTCTACAGATCTATTTTTACTGCTTCTGCCATCTTCATCAGTCAACATCTTCTTTGGCTTTCTTCCCTAGCTTCTTTCCCAGTATCAAAGAGCATAATTTTTTTTTTACTGTATATATAGGATAAAATGTTTAAAATGATGGTTTGTCCCTGAGATCTGTCCTCAAAGATTTAAAGGCATTCTCTCAAGAGGCTACAGTTAGAGGCATTGTATACAAACCCCTCATCTGCCTGTCCTTAGATGTACTCAGCTCTCACAGTGCACAGAGCTGAAGTTCCAGGAAAATCTTGGGGAAGCTGGGAATTGTTTGCCATAGAATAAACGCATTCATGCAAACACACATGCATCTGTCACTGGGTTGTTTTGAGTTTCTTTGACAAACCAGAGTCTTGAAGCACACTGATATGGTGGCAAATATTGAAAAACTATTTTGAATAGAGAAATGGAAACATGGGTGAATACTGAGGAACCAAGGTCACTTTGACGTCACCCATGCCAGATAGTTGAACTGAATTTACTGAATGAATCTTCACTTGTATGACCAGCAGTATAACGGTGGTGAATGTCAGGAGACTCCCAGACATGCACTGCTGTGACATTAATCCTGATGTCTCTCTCAGCTGCTACCTTCTCTGGCTTCTGATCTGGCAGATTGTGATGCACATGCTGTAAATGACAAGAGCATAATGGATGAGGTGTGTGAAATCTTGACACCCAGCTACTAGATGGTGCTTTCTTTTGGGAAAGAAAGTAGCTCCCGAAGCAACGTTGCAGTACTGGAGTAAATTCTCACTCCACTGTATCTGGTCTAGCTCTACTGATTAGACAAGAGGTGGCCATGATAATTTCACCAGTGGGTTTCTGAAATGGGTAAAATGATGAGCACAGCTACATTGGTACATGGCTTACAAAGGACTAACCCTTATGATTTAGAATTGACTTAACACCCAATAGGATAAAAGCAATGTTTTTAGTTGGGGTAAGGCTTGAAGAGCAGTAGAGGTTTCATACACCCTTGAGCAGAGCTGTGAGAGCAGTGCACAGGTGGATCATCAAGCCCTATCCCCATATATTGTCTCTGTGGTGGTTCATACAGAGACAGTCTCCTCCCCCGTTGTTGGAAGCTGTCAGCATAAACCCTCTCAGCTCTGACATCTTGGCATGACTTATGTCCCAGTTAGTCCTGTTGGAATAAAACAGCTTCTCTTGTTTGAAATCAGCCATCAGACTATGCCCCATCTCCTCAGGCACAGACCTGGACCCAAAGGTGTTGCGGTCATGACCTCTAAGCTTGATTACTGCAAAAGAGGTTAAGCAGTGGTCAAACAAAATTCCCTCAAAAGCATTGTCTGTTGCAAGCACAGCAGTGGATCTACTTAGAAACCTCCATCTTTGCCAAGCTCACACCAGAGCACAGGTCTTCATATCTGTTACAAAGTCCATGTCAGAGTGTCTGTAAAGTAATCAGAGACTTCCTTGGTCTTGATCTAACTGTTTTAGAACTTGTTATTCATTTTAAAACCATAGACACCCATGGTCAAAACTATAGGTAACCAGGGACAAGGGATTGCAGGAGACATCTTTGATAGGTACTGTTGCTGTGCTCCTTCTCACAGAGGAGAGTGGCCATGGACCTCTGGATCCTGAACACAGTGCAGAACCTGCCTGTTTGATTTGGATTCAGGGAATCCTGGACCAGGTGTGCTTACATGCACACAAAATGCAGCTCAGTTTTGGCTTCCCCTTCCATTCTCCCCCCCACTCAAACAAACAGGTGAACAGAAAAGTGAAATAACAAGTGAAACTTGTTTTCTGTTCATTTTTGAGGAATAAACCCTGGTCACTTCTCTTTTAAATATCTGGAAGACTGTGACAAAACAAGGTCCTATAAAAGCCTTCTTGAACAGGTAGATCCAATTAAAAAATAAACCCTGGATTTTGGCACAGTTTGTGAACTTCATTTACAACACAGAAAGGAAAGACGCTTGCAAATTAAATCTGTAAATTAAAATGGTAAAGTGGCTCTTTGAAGAAGTAACTAAACATTGCCACAGTATCCATTTCTATTTGCTGAGGGAAAGACTTTATAGCTGTCTTTGAAACAACTTTCTTTCTGCCCTTGCCATCCCGCAGAGAAGCTACATCACTTGCTGCAACAGCTCCAGTGCTGTTTCCCGTTTAACTCTCTGCGTTATCTCTGCACCTATTAATTTATCTCAGCCGTGGCAGGAGCTGGCGTTTGTGGCTCACCCACCTCGAAGGAGTTAACTGGGTTTATTACATAATCTGTTTAACATTCGGGATGAATAGGAAATGCATGCCCCTCCTCTCCTACAGTATGTTTGCACGCTTTAAATCGCACTCCTCCCCATCTGTGTGTAAGCCCCACGCCACTTGGCATGCCCTGAGTCTCTGTGTGTGTGCTTGGGTGCGCACTTGCATGCCTACCAGCAGCTTTGCCCTGTCCTGGCTTCACTCATGCTACTGGCAGCATTGCACGCCCGTGTGTCTCTGTGTGTGTGCACACACGTGAGAAGAGAGGAGCGAGGGGAGGCAAGGCAGACACGCTTATAGGAAGTGCCAGCAGCCGATGCCCGGTGTGAAAGCAAACTGTCATCTCTTGGAGTGCTGCAAGTGGACAAACTGCCTGACATAATGCCAAGTTTTGATGAGGTTTTGAAGGAAGCTGGTGAATTTGGAAGATTTCAGAAGAGGGTCTTTTTCCTCCTTTGCCAGACAGGCATAACTTTTTCTTTCCTGTTCACCAGTGTGGTTTTCCTTGGGCAAGCACCAGGTAGCTACTGGTGCAGGATCCCTGGGGCAGCTGAACAAAGTGAGCTATGTGGCTGGACACTGGAAGAGGAGCGAAACTTCACAGTACTGCCCCTGCGTCTCGGGAACGGGTCCTCCAGCGGGGAGTGTGAGAGGCTGGATGTCGTGTGGGACACCTCCGTCAGCTGTACCGGCCCGCTCGCCCACTACAGCAATGGCAGCACAGGCTACCTGCCGCTCACCACGTGCCATGATAACTGGGTGTACAAACAGCCCCACTCATCCATCGTTAGTGAGGTAAGGAATATCCCCGTCCTCTAATCAGTGCTTCCATCCTGGTGCGGGATTGCGGCAGTAAAATGATATTGCCCCTGGAAAGTTCATTGCTTTGGTGGCTGGTTTTCCTTTCTGGATTTGTTTTGTTCTCATTCACAAGCAAAGGATGATGAGAATGATCAAGTGTCAGCATCAAGCTGTTAGGGAAAGGTGTGCTGATCTGAAGGGTGGCTTTCCAAAGCTAAGCATCCCACACAAAGCCAAACACCACACACAGAGATTGCTCTGTCATTAGAGGAATGTCAGATGAAAATAAAGAGTTAAGTGCTTGTAGCTGAGGCTTCTGGTGCTTGGTTTTGGGCCAGCAACATTGTCAATGTAAACTCCAAGTGTAGCTGACTTACACCACCTGATGATCTAGGTACTGTGTATTATACGTTCTCTGTTTCCTGTACTGAGCATTTAAGTCTGCAGGTAGTAAAAAACCCTGGTGTCAGAATGCCTTTCTGAGATCTGGCAGGAGTCAGCAGAAATGATTGTGCTTACTAAAGAAAAAACAAACACACATTTTTGCCCAAAGCTACTATTCAGCTCTTCCTGAAATGTCAATGCCGGAGAACCACAGACTGTTACCAGTAGTGGTAAGTGCTGGCAAGTGTAGTACGAACAGTCATAAACGTGCAAAAGGCCATTTAGGATGCTTTCCTAGGAGATCCTCTGTGTAATCTGTAATCATGCTGTGGATGTGCTGGGGTCTGGCTTCAGCACACAGTCTGCACACTTGAAGTGCATATTTTAAGGTCATCCCAACAGTAACTGTCACCAATGCAAGGATGAAAAATATGAAGTGTGCTTAGAGGGGCTGGCTAGGAAATAATCACAGTGCTCCACAAAGCTTGCAGCTTGGCCATGGGCTTTGGCTCCTGCCTGTCTTATGAGCCTCCCACTGTGTTTTTTGACTGGGAGCTTGGACTGGAACTGTGCCCTCTGAAACACGGAGCAGGGCACAGCTGGCAAAGCCCTGAGTAAACACTGAACTGAAGAGCGGTGCCTGTCTGAACCTTCCCATTCACCATCATTCCCCCATCCAGCTGGGACTGCTTGCTCTTCTCACAGGCTTCAGGCATAACAGAGCATTGACTTTGTGCCCTGAGCCCCACATCTGACCTGAGCAGCTTTAGCCAGGATCTCTGCTCAGGAGAAGATAAATCAGAGCACCTGGCTGGCCCTAGAGCAAAGGTTAGAAGTAGTTTTGTATGTGATAACTGGAATCAAAGCTGTTCAGAAGGCTGTAATTAACAAACAGGGAGCTGGTGTCAGACTTTGGTCCCTGTGAATTATGTATCTCTGCCCACGCTGGCAGTGGCAGCCAAGGCTGGGTGGGCAGGAGGACAAATGCTGCCTGAGAACTGCATCCTGGCTCCAGAGCAAGCTGTGCGAAGTAGCTGTGGTGGGAAGACGATACTGCTGTCTCCAAGGTACCTCTGTTGGGGGACTGCAAGGAGTTAAATCGTGGCGTTTTTTACCTAGGCAATTGGCACCAGCTGCTCCCCTCAGAGCTCAAGAATAAAACTAGAGAGCTTCCTTTTGTTGCTCTTTTTCACCCCTTCAACCTTGCTGAAGGTGAAAGGATGTAGGTTGTGTCCATAAGATAGTGCTCAGAGTCTGACTATGGCAGCAGTTTGTGTATCTAGCAAAACCACTGGGATTTTCCAGCAGAGCTGAGCCACTGGGTACAGCTAAGAGAAAACAAAACCAGGTTTGTATTGCAGTGGTAAATGGGAGTGAAAGGTTCAGTGTTCACTGGCAAACGTCTCGTCCATCTGCACCTTCTTCCTCTCTTCTCCTGGGGAGAACCTCCAGGACCAGGGATGCAGGAGGAATGAAGGAATGCTTGGGGAAGTGCTTTCCACCTGTGCTCTTACAGGTGCACATTGGGAAAAGCAGGGAGTAACAGTCTGCAAGTAGCAACAGGCTGGGACTGTCTCTCTCCTATGCCAAGGCAGCATGTTCCATCACCAGTGTCACTGTGGCTCCTAGCAGGAATTTTGCTGGCACCTTGGATGGAGTGTGCGGGCCTATGACCTGTGGCACACACATCCTGTTCCCAGTTTTGCAGCATTTGTTGGATAAATCACATTCCGTAGGGCTTGGTTTCTTCATCTAAAAAGGAAGCTTGTGGCATGCACATCCTGCCTTAATTGCTTTGAGATCAGCTATTAAAAGGAGCTTGATATGTTATTAATGTGTTCTACGTCCAGCAAAGATGATTTCAATCCCAGATTTAATTTAGTCTCCTATCATTCAGCCAAGGGTTCAACAAATCATGACTCAATTTAAGCAGATTTGTGCTCCATTTAATCAGCTCATGAAAGATGTCTTTTCTCATGTGTTTACCTGTAAATGTTTCCTGTTTCTGTTTCTTTGAATTACCTAAGATTTCTGTCTGGCTGAATCAACAGTGGAAGTGATCATGGAGATAAAAGGGTGAGTTACATGACAATCTGAAGGACATATGTTCAGAGAGAATTATGGAGAAGGGGGGAAAAAAAGAACACTCAGGGTACTGAAGGTGTTCTTCCAGACCTATGGCAAACACAGACCTGGTGTGGATTTGTAGCGTCTCAGGGTAGGCAGAGGGCAAATGCAGGCATGTAACGCCTTCGCTGGGAAAAGGTGTTGAATCACAGAACAGGTCTGGCAGCCAGACCACAGGTTATTGTAATTGGTGCTGAGCATCCAAAAGAAGCTAAATCATATGGCTGGAGGGACTGATTTATGAGCAGTTGTGAAATGAGTGGTGTTGCTGTACTTGTTTCATTGCTCTGATTTGTACATGACTGGAGCATGTTGCTCACTGGCCACTCTCTCATCCTAAGTAACTTCTGCAAAGGTGTTCACAGTAGCATCAGTAGGAAGAAGCAGAGGAAAAAGGGGGAATGTGGACTGATAAAAAGCAACCACTGCTTTGCAGGCAGTACCTGGGGTGCCTGCTGCATCACCTGCTTGCTGCTACAGGACTCCTGAATCTCAGTGCTGGGGTACAGTGGGGTGCTGGGAGAGTGTACCAGGGCTTTCTTCCTTCAGCATTTGAGAAAAGCAAAATCTATTAAGAAATCATCCCAGGAGCAACACATGGCAAAGGCAGTTAGCTTGATCTAGTGACAGGTCAAAGTACTGCTAAAGATTCCCTTTTAAAGTCTTCTTCTGATGCCTAACAGGCTCTGAGAGGAGGCTCCTAATTCTGCAGTGACATGCCTAAGGTTCTCTGTGCTCTGTTGCTTTAGGTCAGGCTTTTCCATGAGGGTAATCCAGATCAGAGGAAGAGTTGTCCACTCATGCTGCATCCAGCACCCTGCTGCCTGAATTAAGAGTTGGGCAAACTGGAGCTGGGATGATGTCAAGCTTGGAGACACCAGCAAAGTCTTGTGCTATGCATAAACCTTGGCAGCGCCCCCTCCGACGCAATGGTGTCGCAGGTGGTGGATCTGCTCAAAGGACTTTGGCCCATGCAATCTGCCCCCGTCTAATCGAGCGTGTCTTGCACAGCTCCCTGTGAAACTGGAAGAGGCAGCTGCGTGCGTCAGTGAGGGGGACAGGAATGCAGTAGCTTCTCATGTTTTGCTTGGAGAGGGAGTCTGAATGGGTAATCACCAAGCTAAATCCATCCTTGGCTCATGCTCACTGATGCCGTCTGAAATGATGCTGGTCGTAGCAGGTGGCCAGGGCTTCTGCAGAGGGAAGGCTGGTGACAGCAGCACCTCTTACAGGGGGAGAAGGGCAGGAAAGGACCATGTTTCTGTGCAGCACAAGGGTACTGGGGGGCTGCAGTGGACCAGGGAGGTTACAGCCTCGTGCTCGAGTCATGGGGTCTGGAAGGGAGCCCAGGTTTCTCCCTTCACCACATGACACTTGAAGTAGGAAGAGTGTTGCCAGCCATCTCCTGCCAAATGAGTTGGGAGAGGGATGCATGTACCCAGGAAATAGGGAAGTCAATAAAACTAATATTCCCAGCAAACTGTGCAGAAGACGAGCCACTGGCCTTTAAGTGGGCTTTGCACTATGTGCTGTCATCCCAGAGGAGAAAGTCTAGCATTTTGTGAAAGGGTGGCTGGCTGGTGATATTTTGCAAAGCAATAATCATTTTATTCAGACATTTTTGACGGTGATGTCTCCTAGAGGCATGTGCGTGAAGTACAGTCACACCTGCAGGATCAATGGCCTGTGGTGGTGGATGAAAGGAAGAGGGAAGTCTACATGGTCAGCGGCAGCTACAGCACAGCTGGCATATTTCTGGCTTATTAGAAACCTCCGTTGGCAGGAGTTCGGCAGGAGGGAGTGATTCCAGTATGCCCTGTCTGCAGCAAGTGTCCACGCCATAGATGATGTCATTTCAAGACCTGCCAACTATTTATTGCCAAAGTGTGAGGTCTGACGTGAACAAATGATCATCTGAACATATCCTATTGCACCTGCTGGGAATAAATCTTCCTACTCCTCTGCTTGCCAGCTGCCTCAGAAATGACAGCCAGCATTTGCAGAGAAGCCTGTAAGCAAAGCAATGTTTGCCATGTAGCTTTTACAGTCCCTCAGAGAAGATGTGTCTGTCAAGCTCAGGGCGGATAAAGGTCCTTTTTCTGCCCTCCTCCAAGGCAATAAACAGTGTAATTCATCCCCCAAAGTGTTGATCTAGTGTGATTATTGCCATTGGCATGGCAAGACCCAGTCTTATTTCAACTGTCAGGGTGGGATTAATATTAAGTAGTGGAAGGAAAGGGGAAAAGGGCAGACAGAGGAGCAAATGGAGCAGCAACTGATGAATTTCTTAAGACCCTCTAACTAAGCTTTCACCATGAGAAACGCTGGAGCAGTTCCTTGAATGGGTTACGCCAGTGGGGCAACACCTCTGTCACTGCCATCGAGCCAGGTAGTACTGGCTGTGGGCTCAGGCCTTGGTTTTATTTATTGCTTTTAGGACAGCTTTTAATGGGGGCTTCTCCTCTTTGTCACTGGGAGCGAAA